GACTGGGAGGAAATATTTACAAATTATTTCATAAAGGATCATATCTAGAAAGTATGAACAATCCTTTACAACTTCATAAAAAGACAACCCAATTAAAAACTGGCAAAGGAGTTAAATAGACATTTCACAAACGAAGATATACATATGGATAATAAGCTTGAGAAAAGATGCTGAATATCACTATTCATTAAGGAAATGCTAATTAAAACTGCACTGAAGTACCATTATACGCTTAAATTTTACTGACTGGATAGAGCTTGTAAGGTCATCTATTAAAATTAGAAAAAGCATTTTAACACACAGGGTATTCAGTTCAAACCATTAAATGAAAAGCCTTATCACAAAGGTAATTTAATAAATTTTAAAAAACAATTATCTTTTCAGTTCCTCATTTTCACATTTGTCAAACAAATTTCTATTACTCCATAAAAATTCACAATTACCTTCATCAGAGCTTTATTGGTGAGTTTCTGGTTAACTTCAGGCTTATTTGAGTATGTTCTTTGCTCTAAGAGCATATTCCAATGTGCTCAGTTTCCTGTGATGAAAAGAAAAGGCCAATTACCGAAGATATGAGAATAATGTAGTTCTGTTACCCAAAATGTACTATACAATAACATAATAATTTTTGGTTATATCTAATATAAACATTTACCCACTAATACTACCATACCCAACCTTTAAAAACGAGGAATGTTCTTAAAGCAACTATACTCCAATTAAGCAAATAAATACAATAGAGGACTGTTTAAAACATCCTTATTTTTCACTCTTCAAGTTTCAGGGTCTTTAACTTTACTATAATTTAATCTAATAATTTTTTGTTTTAGTCTTAAGCTCTTTAGAAAAAAAAACTCAATGAATTTCATCAACTGATGAATAAACAAAATGTCCTATATCCCTATCATTCACCCACCAAAAGGAATGAATTCTGATACCTGCTGCAACGTGGATGAACATTGAAAACATTATGCCAAGTGAAAGAAGCCAGAAACAAAAGAACACTTATTGTGTGATTCCATTTATATAAAATATTCTGAATAGGCAAAGGTATACATTAAAGAAAGTAGGTTAATAGTGACCTAGGGCTGGAAATGGAAACTGATGGGAGTGACTGCTAATAGGTTACAGGGTTTCTTTCCAGGATAAAAATGATTAGATTTCGGGTGACAGTTGCATAGCTCGATGAATATAGTAAAATCACCTAATTATATACTTTCAATGGATGCATTTTATAGTATACAAATCAGTTCTCAACAAAGATAGTTTTTAAAATGAAAGAGGGAGTTAAGAGACTTTATAAAAGCTTTTCTAATTCCGCTTAAAGAAGATAATCCAGTAAAATTAAAGTAGACTTTACCATCTTTGTTGTTTCTCTTGGTTTTCCTACCTGTACCCCCACATCCAGCCCCATCTTTAGGGATCTCTAAGCAGCTTCTAAAGCACTACTATTCACTTAACCCACTTCTAAGGCCTCAGTTAAACCATTCACTGATAATGACCACAGCAATTATCTTTGAAGAATGGAAAAATACAAGTAAGTAACTAGCTTTTTAAGATTGAAAAGTGCCAGCAAGGAGAAAGACAATATTTCAGTGGTGTTCTCCTCTGTGTGTCCACCACATACAATGTCCAGATTATTTTTACTGTAGTATAGAATGAATGAAGCCAATTAGTTAACTCTAAAAATATTATACATGATAGTTAGGGAATTCTCTGGCAGTCTAGTGTTTAGGACTCCAAATTTTCACTGCTGAGGGCCCAGGTTCAATCCCTTGTTGAAAACTAAGATCGCACAAGCCACACAGCACAGCCAAAAAAAGTGACAGGTAAGACCTTACCTCCAGATTGAGAGATGCAGGAGAAAATGTTGCAATGATAGATGTTCTTGTACGTCCCCGAAAGAGTCCTGGAGGATTCTAATCAGTTTAGATTCTCAATGAGGAACATGAGGTGTTCTTTCTAATAGTAATAACCCTTCCCAGAGTCAACAGGGACTGATTGATATTTCCAGCTTCCTGAGCTCTCTTGTCAACTGCTCCAGAATGGCCAATGTTCTCACTGCCTGCAAGATCAACCTTGAATTTTAAAAATAAAAATAAGTCCTCAGTCTATGGATTTGGAATAGAAGACTTTCATTCTCATATTGTACATAAAGATACTAAATAGCCAGTAAAATAATTTCCTACAAATAACAACCCACTACAAAACCAATAAAGTGACTACAAAAGTACTGTCTTCTAAATACACAATTTTCAAACTGCTCTATGGGTGAGAAAGAAGAAATAGTGGAAGAGAAATACCATTTGACTTAGCAATCCACTTCTGGGTATGTATGCAAAGAACATGAAATCTCTCTCAAAAAATACCTGCACTCCCACATTCACTACACTGTTAATAATAAACAAGGTATGGAAACAGTCTAAGTACCCACTGACAAATGAATAAAGATGTGACATGATGTGCATGCACACACAAACACACTCAAATATTATTCAGCCAAGTGAAAGGATATCCTGCTACACTGTATATTTTAAATACATAATTTTATTTGTCAATTATACCTCAATAAAACTACCAAAAAAATAAAAAAAATTGAAAGAATGAACAGGGGTATCACAGTTGATGCTTACCAAGTTCAACTTTCCAATTTTAACAAGCTCCTCTCCATCAACTGTAGTTTCTTTCATATGTATTGTAACAGAGAAAACTGAGTGGGATCAACTAGAAAACAAGAACAAGTTGCCCAATCATTATAATGCAAAACATTATTTGTTTTCCTTCTGTAACATAATGAAAACAACAAAGAAAGATCCAAATCCACCAGGGTAGAGAAAGATATTATCAGACAGGATAATAATAAGATTTTGGGGAAAAAAAAAGATTTTGGAAGACAGTGGATAGATAGAATGATGCTAGGTTTTGGCTTTCTTGGTCCTGCTGCCTGCACAGAAGAAACCAATAATAATCTACCTGAAAACAGCTTAAATGACTTAGAATCCTCAGGCACCTCCGAAAGCTGGATGTGGTATAGTGTTTGAACATCTGCCTGGTGTGTCAGAAGAGATGGCTTGCAATTGATCTATTTATAAGAACCACTTGAAATACATCATCACCTTAAACTCAAGCAGCATCAGGCAAGCCACCAGATCACTCACCCTCAGTGTCAACTGTCCTAAAAGTACATTGCTCTGCTTTGAGAAGGTCACCAGAGACAGATAGGTCCTTCCTCTGAACAGCGCAAGTAGTAAATAGTAGTGTTCACTGAAACACCACAAGTAATCACTGCTAGACTACAAGGTTTTCCAAAGCCCATCTTATGCTGTATACTGACACTCAACTTTTATCTTAGTGATATAAAAAACAATACAGAGAACCAAAGATAGCATTCCTTTCTGTATCAATATCTGATGAAGAACATTCTGTTTGTTAATGTTATTGATGGTTGGAATATGGTAATTTCTAATTTTCTCATTTGTACTTTTCATGTGACTTGGAAAATTTTATAAGCATCATTTTTACAAAATTATTTAAGTTATTTTAAATAACAGAAAAGGGGAGGGACACAGGGAGAAATATAAACTATATATGTGAATTATAAAATATATCTCATGTTTTCCTACCATTATTTGCCCATTCCTAATCCAAGATAATAAAATTAAGGCTACTAAGCATAAAAGTCAACTCTGATTTTGGAAAACTGAATCACGTTTCTTTTCCTTATCACATACATTGATAAGAAGATACCTTTACTCCAGTCTTCAGTGAAAATTAGGAAATTTTAAATTATTCAAATTTACAGAATGGGAATTTTATATTTCAGAGAGAAGCATTTAGAGAAACAAATTTTCTTAAATTCATTCTTCCCAAGTCTAAATCAAGTTAAGTTATAAAGCAAACATTTAATTCAAATGGAAACTTCATTCTATGATTTGTTTATAACTCCATTTTTAATGGAAAGGTATTATAGGAAATTTAAATTACAAAATCACCCATAATTCCATGATACTGATTACTTTCATGTTATGCTATTTTTCTTCTTTCTTTAAATACACACATATTTATATAGAGTTACAATTATAACTGCTATAGCATATTGTAGAAATGTCCAACTATAAGAGAGCAACTGTAAGAGAGCAAGACCTCAAAGTCATTTTGCAGTTCGAGGAAAATGATATTCAGGTAAGTTTAACTACCTGAAGTAACAAACTTAATTAACTGCAGAACTGGAACTAAGCACATATATCTAACTCCTAATCTACAACTCTTTCAATTACATTCTGATGTTTCCTTCAAAGATGAGCAAAAAAAAAAATCACCTCTGATTTGGTAAAGTGCACTTCTAGAGTCTGGGATTCATCTTATAAGGGATTCTATCAAATATGCCTCTTTCTCCCCTTGAAAGCCTGTACTAGTGATCATGTGTATTGTTAGTGATCATGTGTCTTCCTACATTAAAATGAAGCCATTTGGGAAGAAAAAAGTCATGCTGTGCAACCTAAATATATAAAATTTTGTCATTTATACCTCTATTAAGCTGGGGGGAAAAAAACAGGCCATTTGGTTTTCTTCTAATCTTTACTCAAATAAGGGATTTTCAAACTGTATTCTAAGTATCCTTAGGGCTCCAGAAAAGTACTCAGGGCAAATCTCCTGAAGGCTGAGGAGGTAAGCCCCTGAGTATCCCACTGCCAAATCAACTACCCCAGCCACATTTTAATCAGGGCTCCCATGTATAGTTTCATTTGGGAAAATAAACCTTCTACTTAAAAAACTTAATAATTCTGCTCAAATTCAACTTATCTTTGTCCTCCTTTCAACATTCTCCCAATATTGGCGCTCTCCTTATAAACCTCAAGCCAATTACTAAGGCAAGTGATCCAGCACACAATCTAGATGTGTGACTCACATACCTTGACACACCCCAATTTGATTTCCCAAGCTTGGATATTCTTCTTGAAACCAAAATGGAGTAGTGGGGGAAACAAGGGCTTTCTTACCTAGAGTAGGCGTTCATCAAAGTTGCTGCAGTTGTCCTTTTCGCTGTCCCCTTCTCCAAAATTTGATAGACTTCATTCTTGTTGTATACTGTAATTTCTTCTAAACCTTTGATTATCACTCCCCTCTGACCAAATATCAGAAGAGCATCCATTAAATTGGTTTAAATATATATATATATATGTATCTCAAAATATCACACATTAATATTTGGAGACATTTCATTGTCAAAGATTCAAGTTACCTTGTTACGGGGATCATCAAACATTTTCAGTCTCTCAGAAACATCAGAAAACGGATTAAGGAGATCAAAGAGCTCTTCATTATAGATTTCCAATAGTGACACTTTCACTGAAAATTCAGTACCATTATCAGTAAGTTTCTCAAAAATCTGATGAAGAGTATGTGGAATGTTACCAGCCAAAGGATCCTGAAATTATAATATTAATAAAGACCTAAAGAATAGCATTTACAGCAATAGTTAAAACTCATTTATAACAAGCGCCTTCTTTATAGTATATTTAAACATAAATATTCAAAACAGGTTTGAAAAAAAATAAAAAGCTGACTAATGTTAGAGAAGCCAAATCACTTACAAGCCATTTACAACAATCTGTTCAATAAAAATTATTCTTCCTTACACCTTCCACAAATCTGTCATTTCAGTCAGCTACTTCATGCCTAAGCATTATACAGAAACCAACTGAATCAAGTTCCTTATAAAGCCAAGTTCAATAATCCTCTCCAACTTTTCTCATGAGAACATAGTACCATTCTTTTAATCAGAAAAGTGGCTCATCTAACAGTATATTCCCTATTTACGACATAAAACAAAGTTGTTTCTCAAATGTCTAAGTATCCTTAATAAAACTGTTATGACTCTATAAATTTTGAAACTGTGCTTTAAACCTATTTCATATTTTCTATGATTACAATTCCATAACACTATTACCCATGCATAAAGTAAGGTAATGTCCCAACCATTAGAAGAAAGGATCTACCTAAATGTTGGTAATTTGGAAAATATTAGTCATTAAACTCATTTAGGTTTAAACACATTTCTTTGTGAAATGTACTATGTGCTTCCTATAATCTTCAACAATACAGTGATCTTAATTTCACACTCAAAGTCATCATTAATAAAGTACCATACTGCTCCCATGGTTATGCTAACTTTACAAGACTCACTTCCTCACTGCAAAGCCTTCCCCTTCAAGTCCTACTCACATTCCACTTTCCCACAATAGTCTGCTCCAACCTTCTGCCCCAAAGAGACCCTTCTCTCATCATCTAACTGTACCATATGTATTGCTCCTCTCTCTCCCAGTAAGACTTTATATTTCTTAAACAAAAGCCATTACATATACTTCAATATCATTATACTAGTAGTTTATCCTAAATTCATGTTTGACATGGTACTCTGATCTATTTCAGACAGAGGTGTCCAACCAAGTTTTATTCAGCTGCACTTGAGCCACTTTAGAGACAGAAGTCTGATATAAACAATAAATACCTCCTCCCAAGTATACTCTTCATTAGGGGACCTTTCATCTTCCGTTGTAAAGGTTTTTCCAGTGCCGGTTTGGCCATATCTGTCAAAATTAACAGAACTGTTAAACAAAAACATTGATTACATGAATCTAAAACTTTTCATCAATTTGAAAAGTGCTTCACTCACACAAAAATAGAGCAATTATAGCCCATAATAACTTCATCCAGAATTGGACAAACACCACTTCACTAAACGTCAATTTGTTTAGTATTTGCTCCAAAAACCTAGCCAAAAAACAAAAGGCATTTCTTAAAAAAAAAAAACTTCAAAATTACCTTAATAATTGTTTTTAATATATTAACTTATCCAGCCCACCAGAAACCATTTGACAACTCGAAGGATCAACTGAAATTTCTAACTACACCAGAATCTACAGAAAATATACATACTAGGATAAGTTTACATTAGTGGATAATAAGAAGTAGCAGCACTTTAGGAAGTAAGTACAGTATCAAAAGTGTATGTTTTCCTTGAGCTTTTGTCTGCCAGTCCTTCAGTTCGAACACTAACTTCCTTCCGCACATGATCCCATTCTACTACCGAATGGGCATTAGTTTTCTGCTCTGCCAAATTAAATGGTCTGTAAAATGAAACACACAAGGTTATTCAAGAACTCTTCTTCTTAACTTTTTCTTTTGTATTGGGGTATATATAACCAATTAAAACTGTTGTTATAGTTTCAGGTAACAGCTAAGGGACTCAGCCATACATATAAATGTAACCATTCTCCCCCAAATTCCTCTCCTATCCAGGCTGCCACTTAACATTAAGCAGAGTTCCAGGTTCTTGTGGTTATCCGTTTTAAATATAGCAGTGTGTCCCTATCAATCCCCAACTCCCTAACTATCCTTTCTCCCCAACAACCATAAGTTCATTCTCTAAGTCTGTGAGTCTGTTTTGTAAGTAAGTTCACTTAAGAATTAAGAACCCTTAGTTATCAGGTTACTGATGACATTTTTGTTAATATCTGAGAGAAGAACAGTGGGAAGTTTTAGCTACACTGTTGGTGACAGAGATTAAATGGGGCCTAAATGACACTGCTAAAGCAGACAGCAGAATTTTAAGAGTTTCAATTGCCAGAAATAAAATTAGTTTAAAAAGTTTTGAAAGACATGTACAATTCTGACAGTTTCTTGGAGTAGAAACTAAAAGAATTAATTTGTAAAAAAGATGAAACTTATTTTTCAGAATTCTATTTCCACTGTTCCTAGAATCCAGCCAAATTAGGTTACAATGCAGTAGAAAGAACATGCCAAATTTGCATCCAAAGTATTAACCAGCCAAGGGATAACTGGCACAAAATAAACAATATATTAAAATAATGACTAATACATAGAGTGCTTACTACGTGCCAGGTACCACTGTTCCAAGTGTTTCACATGTGTTAATTCAATTTGTCCTCAAGACACTGAGGTCTATTGGGAAACACAAAACAAGTGATTATAAGAGAGATGACGTTTAGTAAGGGGAAGTAAAAGGTGCTGTAGGAACATATAGCAGAAACTTAATGGGGCCTTGATTAGGACAGAGCAGGATAGAGGAGGCATGATGGGAAAGACTCTATGTGAAGTAAAATAAGATAAAAGCCTTCTTAGGCATTTCAGTAGAATGAGGACTCTTCATCCAGTCTGCCCGGGCAATGGCGCCCTTTGTGCCTGTCCTCTCATTTGAAAATTAAAAGGTTGGTAAGAGTACCAACCCCAAAATGTGGGAAAACAAGTCCTATGGAATTTACTGTTTCCCCAGTGTCTACTACTCTGCTTAACAGACACTCAAATATTACTATCTGTTATACTACACTGCTTAATAAATGTCATCCTTAGGGAAACGGAAGGAAAGCTAAAAAGAACCACAGTCCACAGAGCAGCATCCATAAGATACTGACATACTTTACAGACATCTGAGCCTAAGGGAGAGGTTTTCTTGCCCTGAGTTCACTTTTCCAATTCATTATCACATACTGTGACAGGAAATGCCAAATAGGAAGTTATTTTCCCCTCATCACTAGACTAACCAAACTGCTATTTATGTTGTTGAGAAGAATACCTCAATGTCCTCTGGCATGCCCCACCCCCATGTTTGACTTGTCAGACCACATTTGTGATCCTGAGAAATTTAACTCAGTAACTTCCAAGTAATATCTCGTCATGCTGTCATTTGTTAAATGTGCTGAAACCTAACAACGCACAAGTCACAGTAGGCAGAATTGCTCTCCTGTGGTTAAAGCTTTTCCAATTGGTCTGATCTAGTCTGGATGTGTGATTAAATTACCAAATGAATACCATTCAAGTTGTTTAGGCAAAGTAGTAGAAAGTCCCACAAATCACACACTCTTAAAAGTTATCAAAGCTCCCACAAAGGAGCTTTAGGGACTGTTTATACTGCAATAAACAGTACTTCCAACCAGCTATTTTCCTATCCAGATTTCTTTAATTAGAAATTGCAAGGATGCTGCTGATGACACTAGCAAAACCATCAATTGTAGTTGGCCTTCCCTGGCGGTTCAACAGTAAAGAATCTGCCTGCAATGCAGGAGACCTGGGTTCAATTTCTGGGTAGGGAAGATACCCTGAAGAAGGGAATGGCTACTCACTTGAGTATTCTTGCCTGGAGATTTCCATGAACAGAGGAGCCTTGGTGGGCTACAGTCCACGCAATCGCAGAGGCATACACAACTAAGTGACTAACACTAATGCCTTCACTACAGTCACATTAAAATTCAAACAACCAAAATGGTAAAGAAAGATTGAGGATTAAAAAAAAAGTCCTGTCCACTAAATTCATTCATTTACTCCATAAATATTCATATAGCTACTGAACAAGAACATCATAAAGATTGTATTCATTGTAATAAAAAAATGAAGTCATCTCTTAAAATTTTGCTGATTTCTTAGGTTATCATAAAGATTGCATTCATTGTAATCAAAAACTGAAGTCATCTCTCTTAAAACTTTGAGGATCTCTTGGTGGTGTAGTTGCTAAGTCGTGTCCAATTCTTGTGACTCCATGGACTATAGCTTGCCAGGCTCCTCTGTTCATGACATTCTCCAGGCAAGAATACTGGACTGGTTGCCATTTCCTTCTCCAGAGGATCTTCCTGACCCTGGGATCAAACCCAGGTCTCCTATATTGTAGGCAGATTCTTCACCAACTGAGCTAGGAAGGAAGCCCTTAGGCTGATCTCTTACTGCTACTGCTAAGTCACGTCAGTTGTGTCCGACTCTGTGCGACCCCATAGACACCAGCCCACCAGGCTCCTGTCCCTCGGATTCTCCAGGCAAGAACACTGGAGTGGGTTGCCATTTCCTTCTCCAGTGCATGAAAGTGAAAAGTGAAAGTTAAGTCGCTCAGTCATGTCTGACTCTTAGCAACCCCATGGACTGTAGCCTACCAGGCTCCTCCATCCATGGGATTTCCCAGGCTGATCTCTTAGGTTATCATAAACTGTTGCCATAAAGAGTTTAAAACTGGGGGAAAAAAATCAGAGAAGAGGAAGAGGATGTGACAGAAACCACATGTAATCTGAAAAGCCTATAATATTTACTCTCTTGGGCCCTTTGAGAAAAAAGTTGATAACCCTCAAGGGCATAAGTTGTTTATTTAGTAAAGTTTAAGGACACATTGGGCTTCCCAGGTAGTGCAGTGGTTAAGAATCCACCTGCCAGAGCGGGAGACAGCAGAGACACAGGTAGGTTCCTTCAATCTCTGGGTCAGGAAGATCCCGTGGAGAAGGAAATGGCAACCCACTCCACTATTCTAGCCTGGGAAATCCCATGAACAGAGAAGCCTGGTGGGCTACAGTCCATGGGGTCGCAAAGATCTGGACACAACTGAGCACACACACACACACCATCACCACACCAAGAACAGAAATCTTTGCAGTAGGAGGGCTATTTGAAAAAGAAAAGGCTAACCTGAAAAGAAAAACATCTCTTTATACTGAAATTATTATAAACAATGGACACTACCTAAGCACTTTTCATTAGCAATAAAATAAAATAAATCTCTTTTAAGTTAAGGCTTTAAATGTATGGAGATAATAAACATGAAATTCAGGATAATGTTCAACTCTTGAGGTAGAGGAAAGGGATGCGAAGGGATACAGTGGGATTCTAGCTGTAATGATTCTTCTGTTTCTAAACACAGATGCTTGGTATATTGTTCTTCATAATTTTTCATAGGTCTGACCTATTTTTTAACTAACAATAAAAATGAAATTAAAGAAAATAAAGCCACACAGAAAAGGTAATACTGCTTGACTTTATTAAGTGATCAAAATCATATAAAAATTTGTATTTGAATATGGGCTGTTTTTTTTTAACCTTCAAGACAAGTAACTATTAACAGAGGCCCTAGAGTGCAAGTGGTAATTGGCTGCTACTGCTGCTAAGTCACGTCAGTCATGTCCAATTCTGTGTGACCCCATAGACAGCTGCCCACCAGGCTTCCGTCCCTGGGATTCTCCAGGTAATTGGCTAGACTTCGGTAATTGGCTAGACAAGTGTCCTCTCAGGCACCTACTTTAGAGTTAGCTATTACCTTTGATATGTACAACTCAAGCCACCAAAGCTGTGTAGGCAATAACCTAAGAAAGTTTGTTAATACACTTTTAAAATAACCTTTTAATTTTAGAATATGTTTGGATTTACAGAAAAGTTTCTGAGAGTTGGTAGAGTTTTTAATATCACAGCAACAAAAATAGACACACAAAATACACATTACCAGCAGACTGTGCAGGGCATCTAAAAAGCCAAATCAATCCAATATTTGGTTAAGCAATAGATTGTTCAAGTATGTTCTTCCTCTCCTACCGCATTTTAAAGCTGGGAAGTGATACGGGAACTAATCAGGAGAAAGCTGAACACCTTCACCCACCCACTGGAAAATGTAGACAACTTTAGTCGTCTCCCTGATTTTTTAAAACATAAACTCACTCTACAACTTATATTTTTAAAAACAATGATGTTTATTTATTTACTAAGGATTAAGAAAATATTGCTTCTAGAACAAAGTGAAGAAGTAAATGATTAATTTTTTAGA